ATGCGTTGGTCCGAGCACGTATATGCCTGCGTCTCAATGGACGTAGAAAAAATTTGGCAACAAAACCACTACGAGTTCTGCTGGACAACGAAAACACCAAAGCCGTGTTCAGTGAGAAGTTGGCTAGGCAGTTATCGGAACAAAAGACTGTCACTCATCCAGAAGAAGCTTGGTGCCATCTTCAGTCTACTGTAAAAGCAGCACTGGAGACTGTAGCCGACTCCAAGATAATGGCTAAAAAGAGCCAGTGGATATCAGCAGCTTCTTCCAAACTAATGGATGCACGTGAATGCATCCCTGCAGGCTCTGAGTACAATGAAGAGCGAGCGCAACTTAAAAATAAACTGACGAAAAGTCTGCGCAACGATCGTGAACAGTGGTGGGCAGCAAAGGCTAAAGAGATGGAAAAGGCAGCGGCGATCGGTAACAGTAGACAGTTATTTAGACTTATTAAGGAGACTGGGGGGAAATGGTCAACAACAGTTAGTGAGGTTATAGCGGAGAAGGACGGATCGGCGATTCACTCGCAGGGAAGGCGACTGGGACGATGGGCAGAACACTTTGAGGAACAGTTTAACTGGCCTCCAGCCACCATTGCGCTGCCCGCTATCCAGTCGGACCCTGAATGGGACATAGAGACAGGTCCCCCAACACTAGAAGAAGTTGAGAAAGCGGTAGGTAGCCTGAAACGGGGAAGGGCAGCAGGACCAGACGGACTACCTGCTGAGGTATACAAGAATGGTGGTAGAGTTCTCTTAGTCAGGCTAACGGAAGTGTTAGCCAGTATATGGGAATCAAATACGATCCCCTCCGACTGGTCTAAGTCACTGATCATCCCAGTCTTCAAGAAAGGCGAGAAGTCCTCTTGTGATAACCACAGAGGAATCAGCCTGACAAACATAGTGTCTAAGATCCTAAGTTCTATAATTCTCCGACGCCTGAGTGGAGCTCGGGAACAGCAAGCCCGAGAAAACCAGGCAGGCTTTAGACCTGGCCGTGGATGTATCGACCAAATATTCACACTGCGCCAGGTCCTGGAACATAGGCATGCTTACAGACGCCCGACAATAGCTGTATTTCTCGACCTGAAGGCGGCATTTGACTCCGTTGATCGAGAAGTCTTATGGCAGTGTCTGTCACTGAAAGGCGTGCCTAGTAAGTACATCACCTTATTGAAAGCTCTCTACTCGAACACTTGTGGGCATGTTAGAGCCTATGGTGAGTTGTCCAGGGAGCTATACTCATCAAGTGGTGTCCGTCAAGGATGCCCACTATCCCCATTCTTATTTAATTTTATCATAGATATTCTTATGGAGGTTTCCCTCTCGTCACCTAATTACAAAGACGTTGACCGGATCACAGGTGAATTTTCCTTAGATCTAGAATATGCAGATGACATAGTCCTGTTAGGTGAAGACGCTGACAAGATGCAGAGTCTTCTGAACACTTTGAGTGGGAATTTGAGAATGTTTGGGATGCGATTTTCACCACCCAAATGCAAATTTTTGCTCCAGGACTGGTCTTCAGCGGTACCGCGGTTAACAATAGAGAGTGAAGTGGTTGAGTGTGTTGACCACTTCACTTACCTGGGAAGTAGGATCAACCCGGTGGGTTAGTTGCCGATGAGATTTCTGCACGGATACAAAAGGCTCGATTGGCTTTTGCCAATTTGCGCCACCTATGGCGCCGCCGTGATATTCGTTTGTCTATTAAGGGTCGCGTGTACTGCACAGCAGTCCGCTCTGTTCTACTGTATGGCTGTGAAACATGGCCATTGAAAGTGGAAGACACAAAAAGGTTACAGGTATTTGACCACCGTTGCCTTCGTAGTATAGGACGTATTCCGTGGTGTCACCATGTGAGTAATGCAGAAGTTAGGTGTAGAGTTTTGGGGAGAAGAGGTAAGTCAGTCGACGAGGTTGTGAACCTTCATCGACTGAGATGGTTGGGACACGTACTACGTATGCCTAGTCACCGATTGCCTCGTCACACAATGTTGGCTGAGGTGGGTTCAGGCTGGAAAAAGGCCCGAGGTGGCCAGACTAAAACATGGCACCAATGTATGAAGTCTCTGACTGTTGGTTTAAGCCATGTAGGACGATGCAGACTAGGTGGTTGGGGTCCACGGGACAAGAGGAACCAGTGGTTGGAGACCCTAGGTGATATGGCTCAGAACCGAAGTCAGTGGCGCAGATGTATACACACATTATCCTCATCTTAACAACGCTATACCGAATCTCACTATTTTGTCACTCCTCTTTCCTTTCTTCTCGTACTTTATATTTCTTTTGACTGCATTCACTTATCTTCATCCTTCACCTCACTACCTTTTTACTTGATGTGCTGATATGAGGTGTGGCAACTCGGACCGTTACGCAGTAATGCCTGGTCCTATGTTGATAATGATGATGATGATGATGTACGGATGTGAAATGTGATAAACTTGAAATATGATGTAATGAATACCTATTCTTCATTCACACCTGTTTGTGTATCTTTGAGTGATTGTTTAGGATATGGTACCGATGCCGTATCTGAGTACTTATTGGGTGTTGCAAATAAACCAGTTCCAACTTTCATCTGTGTTGTAAGGGATGGCCATTAGAAGACCTAGGTAGACTATATGCTTTTAACTGGTGTCTGCGTAGGCAGACATTCCAAGTTTTTAGATCTGACCAAAATGAATGACCTATGTCAATTTTATAGCGATCACAAAAGTTTTATTTCACCATTCTGTGGCATATATTGACGCTCTGGTCAACTTGATTTCATTTTATCTTGTGGTATTGTGTTGAATCTAGTAACTGACACTAAGCTCACCGAATGTTTTGTGCATGTTTATATATATATATATATATATATATATATATATATATATATATATATATATATATATGAGAGAGAGAGAAGCTGCGCAGAGAGTGAGTTTACCTTTTCCGTAAAAGGTTGTCATACATGGCCATACAGGAATATTTCGAAATAAAGAAGAAAGGAAAACCGTGGGTTATTCCGTAATTGTTTGGTGTTTTCCGAGCATTGTGGTTTGTTCTTGAACCTTTTGTCACCAGACTAGATGACTTCATAAGTATTTACTTCATAAAGAGCACCAAACAGTTATCAAAGGTATTGATATTAAGATTCTTGATTACTTTTCCAACGAACAAAATAGAATTTTTCTATCTCTCTAGTTAACGATTTCATGAATTCACTTTCGTTTTATGGGCAGTGATAAACTTCATTCAGTATTGATTAGTTTTGATGAAACATAATTTTATAAAGTGGATTAAATTAGTTAAATTGTGCAGTAAAATCTCCGTCAGTGTTTCTGTAATACAGTTTGAGTGTGTTTAACCAATTGGCTGTTGTTTACTAACACGTATGGTACCGGTAAATTAAACACACTCACTTCAGTCTGAAAAAATAGATGTCTATTCATGTTGTTGACCAAGTACATTCCATTTATACAACAGCTTGTAAATGTATCATTTGAACAAAAAAGGTTTCATGTTGTCTTTACCCTAATATAGTTTTTGTACATCATTAATTATTGTATGTGAAACATTAGAATTTTCATCACATTTTGTTGATCAACTTTCATGTCATTTCACGTAAGTATTTAAATTGTATGTTTCAGTTAACCTTGTCTTGTATTCTGTTATTGATTTAAATAATGTGCAGTATAGTCTTTACAAATGTTTACTGTAGTTTCAATATGTGGACTTCCTTTGTTGTATAAAGTAGGTACAGATTAATAATATAGCAACTAAATTCACGAATTCATATTACTCCCTTGTAGAGAACTTAGATAAATTTCAGGTTGGTCATTCACCATGAAGTCACATCAGTTGGAGAAACATTGGAAACCTGGCAGCATTGGGCAGTCGTTTCGTCCTAGTAGTGTGGGACTCCTCAACAGTGCGCATCTACAACTTCGCCAGGGATCGAATCCAGGACCTTCAGGCTTCACAACCAGCACGTTACCATTGGGCTACTGGGTCGGAATCCAGTGGTCCATATTTCCTGCTTCTGTCAGTTCACGATGTAGCACCACCTTCATCCATGTTGTCGTTGAGTAACTGTCCTCATTTTCGACTTGGTTGGCCCCACCGATTACTCAACGACGGGATTGGATAAAGGTCGTGCCATTTCATAAGCTGACAAAAGCAGGAAGTGTGGACCGTTGGATTCCAACCCAGTGGCTCAATGGTAACACTCTGATCACAGAACCTGAAGGTCCTAGGTTTGATCCCTGGAGAAGTTGGGTCATGCACTGCTGAGGAGTCCCACAGTAGAACGAAACGGTTGCCCAGTGCTGCCAGGTTTCCAATGTTTCTCCAACTGATATCAGTCCATGGTGAATACTGACGTGAAATCAATAAATCAATCCCCACAAACCTTCAAACTGAACGATGATTTTTATTTCACCATAGTTGTTTTCTTTATCTTTTCTTTAAAAATTGTGAAAATTATTTACTTGTGAGATTTCATGGTAAGTTGCTGATTGCCTTAATAGAGTAAACTCTCAGTGTGAAATATTCACCTCTATTTTAGTTGCTTTCCCAACATTTTAGTGTAAGTTAACCTTTGCATGGTTAATAATGAATAACATTTAAGTGGTTTGTGAGATAAAACAGCGAGGTAATCAAGGATTGCACACGTAATCAACTTGTTTGATTGTTCCAAAAGATTTTTTCCTATCCAAGATCATAATGTCTATAATAGTTGGTCGGGGCAGACAGCAACGAAATGTGAATAGCCTTCATTTTAATCAGTAGAGTCTGTACTGTATTGCAGCATCATCGAACAGCTTACGCCATTTCCAAACAACAACAATTGAAGCTTAGTGCGTACATTACAAAATCTGGTTCTGTTGTTTGGCAGTCACAATAAAAATGGATAGAAAATTTAATATCTACAATCTAGTGCTGTTAATAGCTGCAATTGTTTAATCTTTTCTATTTTCTGTCTCACAAATACACAAATCATTACATTCTGTATAGCGAGTACAAACCCATCAGCAATCGCGGAAAACTGTTTTGCCTGCCTCTAACACCTCTTATTTATATCTGTCTGATATGATGTATCATCCTAAATGCCACTCCTTGTGGCTGGCCGGCTATGGATGTCAGAAACAGTTGATTTAGGCGAAAACCTTCGATTTAAAATAATAAATGAGTTTGGTTCTAGTTACTTTTCAGAAATAACTCATCAGTCTATCAATATCGTCGTCATCTTTACTGATTGGTTCACTTTTATTTCATTACTCGTATTCCATTTGCCTGTACTGATGAAACGTTTGGTAATATCAGTGACTATATAGTGTTACCCATTGACCTCTGCCTGCATCAATTTTGGCGATGAGATTTCCGTGTTTGTCTTGTTGGTTATTTCCCCCCCCCCCCCCCTCAGTTTCTGTTTGTTTATTAATCGTTGTCTGTCATCTAACTGGCACAAGAAATAAGTGTTACGCCTAAGCTTTTATGGTGGGCTCGAAAGACGAACGAGTTAGGTATCATATGAATTACTTTCAAGAAGTTGTTTGAAATACACATTTCCAAAATTCTTCACATGGACGACATAATGATAGATGTTTTTTTTGTAGTTTGAATTACGTGAACTTGTACTATTCTACAGAATTCTAAATCTAACAAGTTGAGGTCAATCAATTGTACGTTTTCATGTGATGTTAAGTTCATTTCCTCTTCTTTTCATCTGCTTCATTGTACAGTGACTTTTTTGTGACTGTACTTTTAAATGTTCTCATATCATCCATACCCTCCTTTTTAATAACTTATTTTTTATAGATAAGTATATGATCATTTTCTTCAATCTGTTGCTATGGTTTCCATTTTTAATTGTATACTTGTACTCCTGTGTCCTTTTCTCCTCCTTTTTAAACCTACTGTACGGGATTGAAATCTGGAGAGTAACATGATCAGCTGATATGTCTTATCATTTACATATTGTATACTAAGGCGGGGTGGGGGGTTAATTTTCACTGTACAGGTAAAGCGAATCTGATTAAATATCTTCACAATAATTGGTAAGGAATTTATGTGAATATATATAGCTTACAAGAGTGTATATGCATAGAGAGGAAGGCGCATCAACGGCAAACCAACACATCGTAGTTACCATTTTGATGATTAATCTACAAACCTAATCATACCTTTCAGTAAGTTACTTGTGGTTTGACCCGCCGACTACTGGTAGATTTTGTGACTACAATTTTCAACAAACTCAGTTTGATATTACTTAGATGGAGGCAGTCAGTGGAAGGTTTGTTTTGAACCTCGAATCTTTTCAGTGACCGTTAAAACTTATCTTCATGCACTATCCAACTCAACAAGTTGCTTGAGTTCCTCATTTTATGTAGGTACTTTTGTATGATTGTGAAAATTAAAAGCTTTCATTCTCATAGATCAAGTGTACACTGAGTGGATACTGGTTTTCACGTTAATTGTACTTGCTATTGAATCAATTTTTTTTCTTCTCAAGTTGCTGAAAATGATGCACAATTTAGAAAAGAGTGGCTTTGTTTTATCCGTTACCTGATCAGATATTCTTCAAAACCAGCCTTAGAATTCTATATTTGAGATGAGCTCGTAGAAATCATCTTTCGTTTATTCAGGAGGTCTATATGTAGGTGTCCCAGCCAGTGCATAAGCAAATGAACCAAAAGTGGCAGCAGTCATCCCTGGATCCTCGCTAATGTCTGACAGTAGTGTGATGTGTCCCCTCTTCGACTGAAATTCGTGGTTACTATGTGGTACAATGTCAAAAACTCGTGCTAAGCACAGTTGTAGCGTCAGTCTGCTTAATTGAGATTTCGAAAGGACTATCTTAGTGTCTTTCTGCCTGACAGTTTTCTCCAACTGGTATAGAAAATCAGTGCAATGATGACCACATAACTGAAGATTTAGAAGCTTAATAGATTTTGGTAAAATTTAGACTTCATCCAACTGTATTTAATCGGTGAGTTCGCAGAAATAAGGAAAAGACAACTGTGTGCTACTGTGCTTTGTAACCTTACTGTGCCATTTAGTCACACATACAACCGGGATTCAGTCGGTTACAAGTGATTCGAACCATCGTCAAAGGGTGCAGAATTGATGTTGAAAATAGTACACCTATATACGAACCTAATGTCGTTACTTTTCAAGTTGAGAAATCACAACTAACTATTACTTTCACTGGACAAGGAGGACCATTCCTCATTTTCCGCAACAGAAACAACTACAGATACATACCTGGTTCAGAAAACTGGGAAAGCCTAATCTTCAGTCTAAAACAGCTTTTAATTTGCGATCCTCACATATTTATGAGAAGAACGTTGCAACAAAGAAAAACTTTTAATCTCAGAGCAAAACCTTTAAAAATAACTTTCGGTTAGGGGTAAAATAGGCTGGTTTCTATATTAGTAAGACGTAATACTTTACTGTACAGCTGGCAGCTACAGTAAACGTTGAAATAAAAAGAGGATGAGGGATGCTGACAGATCAAATCATAACAGCAGCCTTGATTGACAAAAAATATCAATGCTTTCAGTATATGCAGTTGTATATTTACAGAAAAAAACTAATCTTCTTCCATGACCTCTATAGATTTATTGGACTTATCTTTTTTTTCGAAGGGTTGTGGGATGAAATAATACTGACCATCATCTAACTGTTTGCAAACAATAAGGACCTCAGGATGAAGTGATGTACGCATAGCATAACTGTCTTTCTGTTCTAACTCTTCTACACCTTCATTAACTGCCCATACTGCAAGCAGGACAACACGAAATTCAGACATTTGAACCTGAAATAATTTCTAAAAAGTAACAAAAGCAAAGTGGAAATAATACAAGAATATGAGTAGATGTCAATCAGAATGCTGTATTGCACAGAAACAAAACTTGAAAATAGTCATAGTTTTAGTCATGCATAAAGATGGTATTCAGAGCCAAAGTATACACATAGTGATAATTTTGTCGCATTACAACCAACCATCAGTGGTTTTATTTCTTACACCTTCTGAGGAATTTGGTAAGCGTTGTTATCTCTTGCCGCTTACCTCCATAAGTATTCAATAGGTCAAATAAGACCGGATAATTGGAGATATCAGTGGCTGCGAAACGATGCCAGCCATATCCACCCTATATGTATACAGCGGAGATAAATGTCAAGTCTGTAGAAAACAGCCGCATTTTACGACTATCACTTCAAATAACAGCTAACTCTTCTTCCAATACTTAGACATAACCTGAATAGGATAAAAGGATTTTAAACTGAAGCTCCAATTATAGTAGTAATGCAAACGACTGACTGGTTGGTTGTTAAACTTTACATTACTCTTAACTGGTTATTTGTTATTTGAAGACTTGATCATAATTGTTTGATCATACTTTTGCATATATCAGTGCCTCACATCAATGACGGTCATTTTTTACAATTAGTGAATAACAATGTATCACAATCTTATAATTTCCACTCATTTTCGCCTCATGAACGTGCTCATTCCAATGTATTGAGCTACTGTGACCGGCATTTAGTTTGCTAGAATTTGACTAGAGTTCAGCTGTTTCCACTGACTTAAATTACAGCTACAGTATACTTCAACTTTGATCAGGGTTGAGAAAGCTGTAACACATAAGACGATAACACGGCATTCTGATGAACTGTCTTAGTTACATTTAAATATAGCTATTTGATATCAGTATTCAGAAAGAATTGAGTGAGTTGGATTTAGTTGAATCATTCTTTCTGACCAGCTTAAGATATAAAGAAATCTCATTGGAAATACCAACAAAGGATTACACCTAACTATTGCCAATTACTAAAATCCCGCCCACTATGTATCCAAAACCTATGACTTACAAACACCGGTAAAAACCATAGATCTAAAGACAAAATTTGATTTCATTTAGCAGGTTTTACGGAATTAATGTTGTATGTAGCTGTTAAGGTTAAGTGAAAAGTTCTAGTTTGAGCTACATACGATACGTAATTGGTCGATCTTTAACTGATATTACTGTAGTTAGATTAAATTACACGGAAAAATCCGATCCTTACAATAGTGGGAAAAACAATGCAAGCTGTTGTACTCCTTGATCTAAGTGCAAAGGAAGAGTGAAGTGTACCATCCATCCTACTTATCTCCTTAATGGTTCAACGGTGGTTGACTGATCGACAATGAAATTTTTACACACATTTCGACGCTGGCGGTGCGCACTGATAGAAAGCCCAGTTTAAAATAATCTTGGCAGTATTTGCTCTTTACCAAAAATCCGCCTTGTATAGTCAAAAGCAGTAGTTCTGTCACGTTTTAATACTGTCTTTAATAAGTTACAAAAATGGCGAATAGCTTAATTTTACTAAGCTGCATAAAAAGTACAACTGCCGTATGATGCAGGCGATTAACAGGCAGACATATTAACATGTTTTGGCTTTTTCAATTTATGAAGACTAGACATTTAAATAGGCGTTACTCTTCATACCTGAAATACCAAAGACAAGAGATGCTTGGGAGTTCTTACAAACATATTTTGGGTAACATTTTTGAACGATTTAGAAATGAGCGCTGTGAGATAAGAGGTCCCCTTTAAAAATAAATACACCTCAAATTTTGCTGTTGTAGCCTTTGTCTGCTTTGATCAAGAAAGAAAAATGAAGAAGTTGAAATACCACTCCGTAATAAGAACATGGAAATGATTTTACCAACGTATGACGAAATAAAGTGCTTTTCATAATGTCTGAATAAAGAATATGCATTACAATCCATTATAAAGAGCGCAACAAAACCAATGAGATCTAGTTCCAGCAAATAAATGCAAACAAAACTGTTACTTACTAGAATACGACACTGTTCTGGAGTAAGGATATCGTCTTTACTGCAAACAAGATACTCTCTTTCTAAATGAACAACACCTCGGACTAACTTGACAGGCATGCCCAATTGACGCAATATGGGTTCCATTGTATGAGGAAATTTTTGTAAGGGACCGGCAGCAATTCGTACCTTAAAATGTATAGGAAGAAAAGATAACAGGAATGTAAGCTTCTGAAGCATGCACTTATAAATCAGCTTAACGATAATGAATAAAAAGAAACGTTTCAGATGCTCAAAGTAATATACAGTTATGTTCACCCTGAGTATGTATCTGTCTGAGAAATTACAACATTCAAAGAGTACTGAAAGTAACATTTTCCTGAACCATGAGACATTTTTTGGTGCATGAACCAATGACATCCTTTGGGACTGCAGTACCCTTCGAACGATAAAGTTAGAGTTTTCAATTGTACGTCGTTGATAGTTGACTCTTGATAAGCAGTAAGCAAACATACAGTAATAGACATTTTAACGCCTTTTTAAGAGACAACCAGCAAAGATTTAGTGTAATTATACCGATTTCAGCAGTTGAGTTGCACAAACAGTAAAATGAAAGTGAATCAGAAGAATAGCAAAGCAAAATGAAGTAGTGAAAGTACTGATGACTGTATTTAGTGATCAGCCAGGAAAAACACAAGGAGGCATTTTACTGCGCAGAATAACTGTATCCAACATGCACGGTAAAATTAAAAAGAATGCCTCTTTATAACCTTTCACTTTAAAAACAAACATGTGAACTAACAAATCGATCACGTTAAGTAAAATAAAAGCACTATGAAGACAGAAACAAAAGCAGGTAGTAACAAGAAAAGGAAATGGTCGGAGAGTTGGCCAAAAGCTCTCATCACCTTTGCTGTGCATTACAAGGTAAAGCACATGATGCCCAGTAGTTTTAGCCGTCTGATATTGCTCAAAGACTGTAAAACAAGATCGCTTTGACCTTCGACGATGTACCATGTTAATCCAACAAAACCATCCTTTATACTAAGACCCGCAACATAATCTGACTACACCCAACTATATCCTGACAATCCGCAAGGCTAGCAAATGAACCATACATAAGTCACTTTAACGAAATATGCCCATCTCCAAGTCAAAATAGGCGTCAACCTGATTTTGGTATAAAATGTGAGATCCTATGGGCATTGCAGTGGTCAATGAACACCTTTTGCTTGTAGGTTCAACAAGCATACAATGACGCCACACACTGAGATGCTACATAAAAGACTGAATACTACTATTCTAACGTCAGGATGGTGCTTAAAGTGATCCAGGTTAATGTTAACTACTCAGTTGAAATACGTTTAGAAATCTGATCGGTAACACAACAGCAGGGAAAAAACTACCCAGACACATGAACTTTACGACTACATGCAATGGTTTACCGCTAAGAGTTAAAACAAATGTAGAGCTAACATCAATCTTGATCATGGACTTAGCGTTTCAATAGTACAAAAGATACCATGCTTGCTGGTATCGATCCATAACTAAGTAAACGTAACTTGAGTAATCTTACCACAATGTTGGCACCATCAAGACCCCGTCTTGACAATGAACCTAAATTATCACATATCTCCTTTATGACTGTTTTGAAGCGACGAGTGCACGCTTTACAACCATAATTATTTCCAATTCATTTAACTCTGACTATACGTGCAGTTCCCAACAAACAAACTCGACGAGTTGGTAGCGCGATTTGGTCCGACTTATCTGAAGCTACTACTTAACCTGTCACTCCTAGTCATCGCATAATAATATAGCTGGTTTCACAGGCGTATCACATAAATTCAATTAAAGCACACTCATCGTCACATCAGTTGATTTACGATGTTCGAATTGATAATTATAACAAGAATGACCACTTTTATAGTAATGATGGATAGTAGCTAGTACTGGGATTCAGGACGCGCGTTTCGTCTTATTTGGGACTCGTAAGCTGGAAGTATGCCTCCCAGTGAGCGACGTTGTTCCCGCTAAAACTTGGAGTTGGGACCGATCGACTTAAATGCATGAGCGTTATCCACTAGGCAACCGAGTCATGATAGCCACTTCTTGTGCGATGAGTATAGTTTTTATGTCGTGGCTTGTATTATCTTATCACTGATTATATCGCATTGATCGATTTCTATTGGAATATGGGCTCATGCGCTTTTCGTCTTATTTGGGACTTGTAAGCGAGAGCTCATACGCCAACAGAAACCAATTACCGGTCCAATCAACGATGGAACAATACAAGCCACAAAACAGATTTTCCACTGCTTATTTATTGTTCCTTCCAAAAGAACTAAAATGAAATTTTATAAGACAGTGTTGCTTCCGAGGTTTTAGCGATTCTAAGCCTAGATCGTAGAGCTTTAATCTTTGAATCCATACGGGAAACTATATTTAAGTAAAATTAGCTGTTGTGCATCTAAAGCTATAGACGTTTCTTCACTATAGACTACCTGGAAGTTAGTCGACCTAGAATACGCAGACTAAATTACTCGCCAGATGAAGACTTGGTTAAAATGCAAAGTCCTCTGTACATTAAGTGACAATTTAGGAACATCTCGAATGAATCTATCTGCTCACATTCAAATAGACGCTTCAGGGCTGATCAGCGTCAATATCTCACCTAGCAAAATGGAGTGAATCGGTTGAGAACTCTACTTACTAAGGAAGCGTGATCAGTCGTGGTGGGTTGATGACCCATGATATCTTACCTCCGATAAACAATTATTATTACTTGTCCGTTGGGTCCCTAATGAAACATAAGGTTTCAGGAGCACACCTCCACTGCACTCTCTTCTCTGCAAACTTATGAACCTGGTTCCACGACTGCCCACAAGCTCTCATTTCTTCCTTACACGATCTCCTTCATGTCACCCTCGCCTCGACGTCCAACTCGTCACTTCTCATCTGGGTTCCACTAGTAGGCCTGGCACGGGATGTCTCCAGTCGGTCTTCTCCGAGTATGCCCAATCTTTACTTCCTTCTGCATATTTGTAGTAATAGGTTCTTGGCTGGCTCGTTACTCGGCCAGAGTTCTCTGTTGCTTATTCTTATCATTCTGGCCGTCTGATCTTCAATAACGAGCTCAGGCAGTTGTCGACGAGTGTCTGTAGTTTGTTGGAAATCCCTTTCGTAACGCGCCAAGTCTCTGAGTCTTACAGAAGCACTGACTTGACGTTGGTGTTGAAAATCCGCATCTTGTTCCACATGCTGAGTGCAGAAGATCTCCACAATGGTTTCAGGCTAATGAACACCTGTCTTTACCATCTTGGCTCTGATGTCTGCATCTGTGCCTGTGTCGCCTGTAGTTGAAACAGTGCTTCCTAGATAGGTGAAAGAGGCTGCTTCCTTCAAGTTTCTCCCATTGATGGTGATCGGGCTTATTATTATTGTTGATGTTGGTTGGGTATCTTCATCACCTCTGTCTTCTCTACGTTCACTTGAAGTCCCATCTTCGCTGCCTCACCTCTTCTGTCAACTTGTTAGTTTTTGCCTGTAGATCTTCGAGCTTGTGCCACAAGACATTGGACACAAATCATCGTCGGCGAAATCCAAATCTTCTTCAGCGGTCTTTCCATCGGTCCAGCCAGCGTGTGCACCCCTTCTTGCTATTCACAGTTTCTTGCATGATCCAGTCGACCACAATCAGGAAGATCATGGGTGATAGTAGGAGGCAGCCTTGTCTTACTCCTGTCTCCACTTCAAAGGCATCACTGAGTTTCCCATTGTGAATTACTTGGCGGGTATGTGGCGTCTTCATATAGTTGTCGAATGAAGTTGATAGAGGTTTGCGGTATTCCATAGTGTTGAAGCAGTTGCCAAATTACTTCTCGGTTGACGCTGTCAAAAGACTTCTCAAAGTCGATGGAGTTGAGGTAGAGGGTTGACTGCCATTCTATACTCTGTTGTATGATGATGCGAAGCGTTGCAATTTGGTCTGCACATGATTCGTAGTTCCTGAAGCCTGCCTGTTCCGGTCGTACTTTTGAATCCAGTGCATCCTTTAGTCTCTCCAGTATGATGCGGACTAATATTTTGCTTGCATTGGGTGGACAGGAGTAGAGCGTGATTCCGCGCCAGTTCTTGAAAACACTGAGGTCTCCCTTCTTCGGCAGTTTGACAAGGTAGCCCTTCTTCCAATCAACCGGCAGGTACCTTCTCTTCCTTCCACACCTTCTGCAATAGTGGTGTGAGCATGTCCACTGTTGTCTCTGCGTCTGCTGTCAGTGCTTCTGGCGGGATCCCATCTAGTCCTGCTGCTTTCCCGCATTTCAGTAGCTTTATGGCGGTCACGACTTCCACTTTTGTTGGAGGATTTATGTTCACTTGTAGTTCTGTGACTGGGCTGCAGGTGGTATTTCCGGATGAAGTGCAGGTGGTGGTCGATTCAAGAGCTTTTTGAAGTGGTCGGCCCATTGTTTCCTGTTTCTCTTCTTTGGCAATTAGATTTCCTATATCATATTTATCGGTTTCGTCTGGGGTGATCTCCTCCCAGATAGCAACCTGGTTATTTGATACAATGTTGTCAGGTCCCCGTCTCTCCTACCTGAAGCCTGTTCTGCTTCACTTGTCAGTATGTCGTGGAAGTATCTCTTGTCTTTACGCGCACTCTTCTTCACCTCTTTGTCGAGTATTTTATACATTGTACTCAGTTCCTCTTCTCGTCGTTCATCCTTGTACTGGTTTATCTTCCGCTTCACGATCCTCCTCTGTCAGCTTCCATGTGTCCGTCGAGATCTATTCCTAATCTTCTTCTTTCTTTTTCCTTCCTAACACGGTTATGCATGGTTTTTTCCACATAGCTTTCAAAGAGTTCCAGTGTTCTTCAACACAGGCTTCTTCAGGGATGCTGCTCGGTATCCCCCATTTTGTCTTCATGGCTGACGTGAGAATTTTCTTTGTAGTTTCGTCCACAGTGTCTCCAGTCAACAAATCGTTGAATGCACAGAATTCTGAAAACATTTCTTTATTCTCGTTCATTTCACCGACTGCTTCTCGACCCACGGTTAGTTCTCTTCCTGTGTTGTCCGCTCTCATTTCGCCTCACCAATTAGAATTTTGATGTCGCCAACTGAAATCTTGCCCAGTGCTGATTGCAGTTGTCTGTAGAATTCCTCCTTCTTCTCTTCATCTGCATTATTTGTAGGTGCGTAGCATTGTACGATTGAGGCTCCCCTTCCTTTTGAGTTGAACCTTGCTGTCATGATCCTGATCCTGGAGGAGACTGGTTCCCACTGCATGAGAGCCTTCCACGCTCTTGGGGACATCATGATAGCCACTCCAAAACTCAGTGTGCTCGTGGTTATCGTCTGGGTGACAATATCGGAGTAGATTATTGATTCTCCAGTTGACAGTTTGGAGAGTCCACTTCCATTCCATCTGCTTTCGCTAATTCCTATGACTTCAATGAGATACCCCTCATCTGCTTTTCAATCTGGGCAGCCTTGCTACGTTCAAACATGGTGCGGACATTTTATGTTCCCATGCTTACTTTGCTTTCATCGAGAGAAGAGAAGACAAATCGGCCAACTGGCTTTCCGAAGGCCTTTACCAACTTGCGTCATTTCACCCCTCCGATTCCGGAGAGGAATTCAATTTTATTTTTTGTATTTACTTTGTGCTTTGAAGTTTGTTTAGCGGTTAGATTGGCTTTACGGGGTAGGGTTGCTAGCTCTATGTCCAACCTTTCCTCTTTATCCGGGCTAAGGACCGGTTAGTAACTAGTGAACTAGTTAACCAGGCGAGGTTCCAATAAACAATGCTTGGTGGTTAAACAGTGTCGGAGCCGTTCAGCCCAGCTGTACCGTCGTGGATTTGATATCTGACAAAAATATGTAAAACATGCTCAGATTTGTGCTTTTTCCCCCAATCGATAATGCCTTCAGAGTACTGTCAGTCAGTCATATGATATTCCGTTAGTAAATCAGTTACTCAGAAACTACAGGTAAACACAGTCATCTCCACTTAGAGAACGCTGAAATTCTGCAGCCCTGTTGCACACTATTGATTGTTATCACACCATATGATCATTCCCCACTAACTATTACATGACTCAGTTCGAGTGTACACCATTCACTGAAATAATGAAGCATCTGGCATCTAGATAACCTAACCATATGACTAGATTGTCGGAAGTGTTCATTTCACGTCAAAAATACGGTAAATATCTTATGGCGATTACTACATCAAAGGGTGGAAATCTCATAAAACAGCCCTCCAGTGGACATGGATTTTGAAGTACTAATTATAGATTCCGCTGCAAACTCGAATAGTAGGTCCGAACATCTGAGTAAGTGCCGAAAAAACTCATCCCCGTGCATAAGACACAAAAATATAACTTCCTTTCTTAAAAATCCACTATCATAGGCCTGGGTAACTTCAGCGCATGTACCAACACAGAAAAGTAGACCTATTGTTCATTAACTTTAGCAGTTGTTCACAACAAGAGTACAAAGGGTTCGAATTTCGCTAAACAAACCAAGGCTTTAGACAAATAGGTAGTATCAATACCCCTCACTCAATAAATATGAGGCACACTGCATTTCCAAAAAAAGAAAAATCAACGCTGAAACAGACACACGTGAACACTGACTGAGCTGCCATACTTCAAACCAACATATAAACAACAGGTGGACAGAGAAAAAAGATGCCAAGGTAAACTTAGGTGTATAGAAGAAGTAATAATTTGAAAGTGAAGATTAGTGAGAATATTCAGTCTTTAAAAGACGCCAAAGAGAGAGTGCATCTGCGCGTTATAGTTGATTTCTAGCTATGTAACTAAGAGTTTCCAACCATTCATTCCTATCGTCTCGACGATCCAAAACATAAGCTACAGTTCCCCACATGGCCCACACCAAACTTCATTGACTGGCGCCACGTGTCAGTCTGTCCAACCTGAATCCTCTTTGAACCTGATCCAACTTCCCCTTAGCACTGGATGCCGAAGTAGGTGGCGGATTGGTATGCGCAGTACATGTCCAAGCCACCTCAGTCACTGACTGATCCACTTCCCCGTCCTGCTTACAACCCGTTGCCTATCCTCAATATTACGAACATGGTCATTACATTATGTGTGAGATGACTTCTCTCCTTTCTCACAAAGTAGAATCGTGAGTCTGACGAGAATACTTGTGATTCCCATACACTAATACCTTCGTTACTCTAATCAGTAATTTCTCATCTTCAGCTGGTGCCAAACTGTTAAATTCTGATGCTTTGCATCCTGAGGTTCGAAGCATCCTTTTCACCTTCGAGGAGAGTTGCAAGACTGACATATGTACGTGCAGATGGTGTTCGGTCTGGAAGTTGTGCAACCCAGGCGTTTCTGTCGACTAGTTGAGCTGTGCTTCAAAGTATTCTGTCAAACGTTCTACCGGTCTGTCCTGAGTTTGTCAGAGAAACATTCTTTTCGGTGATGGTTTCACTAACCATCATCTTATCCGTATCCTTAATAAGCATAAACAGTAGCCAAGGATGACCTAACGCTGATGGCTTCCACTTTTTTCACTTTCGCAATCCACCATTGCTCGTGATCAGTGAGAAAACTCTCGGTCAGTTTGCGTTTGAGTTGCTATGGCTTACTGCAACCTGCGTTAGCTGGTATGAGTCTTCTCGCATTTATCAGTTCGGGTGCAGAAATCCTGTTATGCTAGAAAGGTCAGTCAGATGGTGGCAAGACAAAAAGTTCCCCTTAAGATGCGAATTGCTACACCGTGATACGGACTCGAGGGTGAAGTTACATTGGTGACTCGATGGCGGTGTGAAAGTATTGAGGTATTTCACTCATAAAGAGGAGCGCCACGCTGACGTTGCCTTCTGTATGGGGGGTGTAAAAAGTTAGTTCTGTAAACAGAACACTTCCCCCTCAACACCTGGGGATCATCTGGTGTACTTGGAGTGTGCAGACAATATCGTCCTGCTAAGTGAAGATATCCGACTACCTAATAAAGGACAGGTATGCAAACTTGCAGTTTTTTCAGTACACGTCAGTCTAACCTCAACTTGGTTACTTCTCATTTTTGTCAACTTTCGTCCAGGTAACATTTAAGTGCGCTAACAATTTGGACAGCTTCGGTCGAAATTGACTTTGTGCAGGTCATTTCATTTTACTCGAGGAACAGTAAAACCTGACGTTACCATAATCTCAGTTGTTTTAAACCTCTGGTGACCAAAAAGGAAACGACTGTGGTCAAAACCCTGGAAAGAGCAATCAAGAAAGCCATCACGGTTCACTTAGAAATCAAAACTATTTCGTTAGCAGCATGGCTTTTGCAGAAATTTATCTTGCTTGACGAACCTCAGTCAGAGAAAGTTGAGTTAAATCTAAGGATGATAAGATAAAAGTAGATGTCATTTCCGTAAACTTTAGTAGGGTAATCGACAAGACACCTCATTCCAGATTGTTCGAAAAACTGGAAAGTTCCACAATCACTAGCAATCTACTTGCGTGGGTCAGATAGCCTTGTTGGCAGAGGACAAAAAGTAAGGACCAATTTTCCCTCTGGAAATCGGTAGGCAGTGGAGTCCCACAAGGCATAGTTCTGGATCCCCTACTATTCCTCCTATACATAAATAAGCTGTCGATTATCACTGTTTCTATACGCTGATAATGTGAAAATTTAGAGGGGACTTAGAGATGGTGAGGATGTACTTCAGACAGGCCCAAACAGTTATTTTGTCTAATCAGAGAAGTGGCTGATGCTTATCAACGCGTTAATGTGTGAGCGTGCACACGGGGCACACAGCTGGCAACACTTACGTTACTGATACCACTTTTACCTTCAGTAATGACCCCAGTGAGCTAGGAGTGAATGAGTTATGACCTGATGACCACGGCACACTGACGATTGGTAGCAGGTCAGATATTCAGGACACCGCTCACTACACACATCTACAAAAATGTGGTGATATGTTTACTATTTTAAACACATCCTTAGTTAAGATTAAACTAAACGCAGGAGGCAAATCATTATCTGAAAGGTGACTCAGGCCTTCTTGAAAGGGTTCAGAGGTCAGCTACTTGTATTGTCTCTGTGATAGTTGGCCCATTCCATGAAAACAGACTTCAGAGGCTTAATTTCTCTTCATCGCAGACAGTGGAGACATAATCATGCTATGCAGGATTCTAAGAAATGACTGCGGACGTGATCTATCTCTTCTTTTCCTACCCACTAGGTCGGAACACCTCAGAGGACATAGCAAGAGAATACAGGAGCAAAAGACGAACGCAGTCTGCGTAGAGTACTGGTTCTTGCATTGAGTAATCAATTACGGTGAAGTTAATCTCAGACGAAGTGGCATCCATATCATCAAAGGGCTGGTTCAAGAAACGACTGAAAAGTCTTGGAAATCTACTGGTAAAGGATAATTGTGTTAGCGGCCTTCTGTCGTCAAACAACAGATTTGAATCTGACTGACCTATACCTGCTAAGTTAAGAACAGAAAAAATAGCTTGACTAGTTAGCTTCCAAAAAATCAGTCATGAGTTAAGCATGTAAAGTTGGGCAAACACTGGGTTGATTAGTGAAATTTCACAAGAATAACTTCCAGACAAATCCTTATTCGTAATACTAACACTGTCTTAATTCCATTATCGTGTGTAAGCAGTGAAACCAAGTGGTAGCCACTGAAAGCACTACGGAACTAAATTATGTCTAGAGAAGACGACATTACTATTAGAAGCGTTTGGTAAACAGTGGAACATCAAAAGTCAACTCACAGTCTGTTCAGCTGGTGCCCCTGGCCTTGAGTATTCTGACGAGCGAAAAGTGTCAAGCTGGTCGCGAAGTTCAGAAGGCGTCAACTGTGAGAACAGAAGAGCACGTTGTCCTTTTAAATATTTACAAAGATGATGTATTTTCGGTCGATAACCATCCTTATGAGTTTTACCAAAAGCCAAAGCCGTCACCTTGTTCACACCGAACAAAAGCCTATGCATATCAGTAAGACAGAACGACTAACTTGACTTCAGGCATATTTTTTCGCATCTCTGAAACCTTCTGAGTGCGTGGATTATGCAAATTGATCACGTAAACTCGATTGTAACTGTCCACATACTCACGAACCTAAAAAAATACATCACTGGTATAGGTAGCTAACCTTTTTAATGTGATCTTTCTTTTTGGGAGCATGTTTCTGAACTTTCGTAAGTTCAACTGACAAAGGATAATAAAACCGGACAACAAAAACATACCTCTTTTGTCACGCCTTGATGTAGGCATGATTTTGAATACCCGCCTTCAAGATATCTGCTGAGTCCTCAAACTACAATTACGATGAAAGAAGTCGTGAAGCATGGCTTGTTTTACCAAACATGCACCAAAATTATGATGTAGTATGAATTTTTTGACCCACTATCAGTGAAACATTTATTCCTCCAACTTATGAATAGAATACATGTTAGTATCCTGTCTAAAGTTTCTTGTACCCTGAATACAATTCCACACACCTTCGAAATGATCATTTGATCCTCAAGTCCTCTGACTCAGTGTACCAACCACCATAAGGACGTCAGGTGCATTTGACTATCAATTCAAAAAATCCAGAAGTGTGCTCATGAGAAAAAGTATTACCTAATAGCCCAAAGATTGCATTCAAGTGAACTTCATTGACGCAAAAGACAGCCAAAGACTCTTCGCAATTGCAGAACATATGAGAATGCCAGAAACAGAACTCGATGGTACAGTCGGTTATAAGTCACGCTTTGATGAAACTCACCGTTTTAAAGCTAAGTGAATATATTCACCCATAACAAATCCATGGTGTCTTTAAGAGTGATAAGAAAGTGACATGCAAGTAAAAGTAACTTCGCGAAGCTGAATCTCACCACAAGACGCTAGAAGGGGTGCCAACTCCGTTTTCTACTCCACCCTAGTTGTTTTAAACGCCTAATGATGATTTATTATTATTATTATTAGTCCCTTGGGTTCCGAGTGGAACATAGGGCTTCAGTAGCACGCCTCCAGTGACCTCTGTTCTCTGAGATCTTTTGAACCTGGTTCCACGACAGCCCAGAAGCTCTCATTTCCTCCTCGCATGACCTCCTCCATGTCACCCTCGGACGTCCAACTCGTCGCTTCCCATAGGGATTCCACTCGAGGGCCTGACGCGTGATGTCCTCAGTCGGCCTTCTCAGTGCATGCCCAATCCATCTCCACTTCTTCCTGCATATTTGTTGCGTGATAGGTTCTTGGTTGCTTCGTTCCCAGAGTTCCTTGTTGCTTATTTTTTCTGGCCATCTGATCTTCAGCAACGAGCGTAAGCAGTTGTTGATGAATGTCTGTAGTTTATTGGAAATACCTTTCGTGACGCGCCAAGTCTCTGAGCCATACAAGAGCACTGACTTGACGTTGGTGTTGAAAATCCGTATCTTGTTCCGCATGCTGAGTGCAGAAGATCTCCACACTGGTTTCAGGCTAATGAACGCCTGTCTTGCTTTTCCGATTCTGACTTTGACGTCCTCGTCCGTCCCGCCTGTAGTTGAAACAGTGCTTCCTAGATAAGTGAAGGAGGTTACTTCCTTCAAGTTTCTCCCGTTGACGGTGATTGGAGTTTGTTGTTGTTGTTGATGGTGGTGGTGCGGTATCTTCATCACTTCTGTCTTCTCTATATTCACCTGAAGTCCCGTCTTAGCTGCCTCTTCTGTCAACTTGTTAGTTTTTGCCTGCAGATCTTCAAGTTTATGTGACATTAGGCACAAGTCATCGGCGAAATCCAAGTCTTCTAGGTTCTTTTCCGTCGTCCAGTGTATCCCCCTCTTCTCGCTGCCTACTGTTTGCTGCATGATCCAGTCCACCACAATAAGGAATATCATGGGGGATAGTAGGCAACCTTGTTTCACTCCTGTCTTCACTTCAAAGGCATCACTGAGCTTCCCATTGTGGATTACTTGGCATGTGGCATCTTCATATAGTTGTTGAATGAGGCGGATAAAGGTTTGCGGTACTCCGTAGTATTGAAGCAGTTTCCAAATTACTTCTCGGTCGACGCTGTCAAAGGCCTTCTCAAAGTCGATGAAGTTGAGGTATAGAGCTGATTGCCATTCTACGCTCTGTTCTATGATGATACGAAGCGTTGCAATTTGGTCAGCACATGATTTGTACTTCCTGAAGCCTGCCTGTTCCGGTCGCAGTTTTGAATCCAGTGCGTCTTTAAGCCTCTCCAGGATGATGCGGCTTAATATTTTACTTGGGGTGGACAGGAGAGTGATTCCGCGCCAGTTCTTGCAAGCACTGAGGTCTCCCTTCTTCGGCAGTTTGACAAGGTAACCCTTCTTCCAATCGTCAGGTACCTTCTCTTCCTTCCACACCTTCTGCAATAGTGGTGTGAGCATGTCCGCTGTTGTCTCTGCATCTGTTCTCAGTGCTTCTGGCGGTATTCCATCTGGTCCTGCTGCTTTCCCACCTTTCAGTAGCTTTATGGCGTTCAGGACTTCCATTTTCGTTGGGGGATTTATGTTCACTTGTAATTCAGCGGCTGCAGGTGGTATTTCTGGACGAAGTGCAGGTGGTGGTCGATTCAAGAGCTTCTTGAAGTGGTCGGCCCATCGTTTCCTCTGTTTCTCTTCTTTTGTAATTAAATTTCCTTCTTCATCTTTTATTGGTTTCATCTGTGTTGGTCTCTTCCCTGATAGCAACCTGGTTATTTGATACAATGTCGTCAGGTCTCTCTTACCTGCAGCCTGTTCTGCTTCACTTGCCAGTGTGTCGTAGAAGTGTCTTTTGTCTTTGCGTGCACTCTTCTTCACTTCTTTGTCCAGTGTTTTATACATTGTGCTCAGTTCCTCTTGTCGTTGAGCATCCTTGCACTGGTTTATCTTCTGCTTCACCATCCTCCTCTCCTCTATCAGCTTCCAGGTATCCGTCGAGATCCATTCCTTGTCTTCTTTCTTCTTCCTTCCTAATACGGCTGTGCAGGTTTCTTTCCACACAGCTTTCAAAGACTTCCAGTGTTCTTCCACACAGGTTTCTTCAGGGATGTCCCTCGACGTCTCCCATTTTGTCTTGATGGCTGCTTTGAAGATCTCCTTTGTAGTTTCATCCTTCAGTTTCCGAGTGTTGTACTTGAATTGAGGTCTATCACCAGCTTCCTTGAAGGCTTTTAACTTGATTTGGAAGGTTCCTTGCACTAGATAGTGGTCTGAACCTACATCTGCTCCTCTTCTTGACCTTGTGTTAAGTAGACTGCGTCTCCATTTTCTTGAGATTGAGATAAAGTCGATTTGATTTTTAGTGTGTCCATCTGGTGAAGTCCATGTCGCTTTGTGGATATCCTTGTGCCTGAACACACTGCCTCCAATCACCAAATCGTTGAATGCACAGAATTCTGCAAACAATTCTCCATTCTCATTCATTTCACCTAGCGCCTCTCGACCCATGGTTAGTTCTCTTCCCGTATTGTCCCCTCCCAGTTTGGCATTCATGTCGCCCATTAGAATTTTGATATCGCCAACTGACGTCTTGTCCAGTGTTGATTGAAGTTGTCTGTAGAAATCCTCCTTTTTCTCTTGCTCTGCATTATTTGTAGGTGCATAACATTGTATGATTGTGACCTTTCTTCCTTTTGAGTTGAACCTTGCTGTCATGATCCTGGAGGAGATTGGTTCCCACTGCATGAGAGCCTTCGATGCTCTTGAGGACATCATGATAGCCACTCCCTCAGTGTGCTCGTGGTTGGCGTCTGGGTGACCGGAGTAGATTATTGATTCTCCAGTTGACAGTTTGGAGAGTCCACTCCCATTCCATCTGCTTTCGCAAATCCCAAGCACTTCGATGTTATACCTTCTCATCTCCTTTGCAATCTGGGCTGCCTTACTGGGTTCAAACATCGTGCGGACATTCCATGTCCCCACGTTTACTTTCGCTTTCATCGAGAGAAGACACATCGGCCAATTGGCTTCCCGAAGGCTTTCACCAACTGGCGTCATTTCGCCTCTCCGATTCCAGCGGGGTATAAGTTTGTTTTCATTTTTTATATTTTGTTTGTGCTTTGAAGTTTCTTTAGCGGTTAGATTTGTTTTACGGGGTAGGGTTGCTAGCCCTATGCCCAACCTTCCCTCTTTACCCGGGCTTAGGACCGGCTAGTAACTAGTAAACTAGTTAACCAGGCGAGGTTGCCTAATGATGAGGAAGCCGGTAAATTCAGCTTGGTGCAAAACTCTTTTACAGTCAGCAAGATATTATGATATTTGCAAGTCATACGGGGTGCTGCTACATAAAAAGGTTTTCCATGACGGTAAAAATGGTGGGCGAAAGACGTTTTGGGTTGACTTCCTGAAATTGCTGCATACCTATGAACTGACTCGGCGGATACAGAGTACTCAATTGTTTTATTGTCATCAAAATGCTAAATCTGGGTTGTAGCTGATATCCGTTCGTAGAAAGTCTGTTCTAATCTTGCTTCTGTATTATATCTTACATTTAAATTAACAAATAATCTGGTGCTTGTGAACACTTCTTTTGATCTGGTTGGAAGTGCCTTGGAACAGGGATACGGCAGTGACCTACATTTGAACATTCAGACTCTCGTATTACAAGGACTCTGTTTTTGTGGCATAACAGGCCGGAAAATTATTTCACCGGTACTGAAGCCATGCCCAGAAATAGAATGCTCAATCCATTTTGCACAAGGATAACTGTTGAGGCAGCAAGCATGGTTCAACAACACATCGTACGTTCAAACAGTCTTAGCTCGTAAAACAACTTAGGGCACGAGTCAACAGTTGTGCATCATTATCAGAAGAGTCGGCACCGGAGAGCTAGTAGGCGAATAAAACTTCTATGAACTTAAGATATGTGAAGAACGTAGTCTTGCGTTGGGAAATACATAGGTGGCTTGCTTTTCAGAGGTAGCTACATTCAATAGCCATGGGCAGCCAGGAAATTCCGACATTTAAGATGATAAAAGCGACCTCAGACCGATGAAATACCCAATAGAATGTACCAGAGATTATCCTCACATACCACTGTCATAGCTCTTCATCTTTACGGCACGTGAAACGAGACAGGGGATATGAAGGAGTGTGCATATTTGATAAAGACAATCAACACAAGATTAAAAACAAAGCATGGAGTAATCATGGTGCTAAGAACTTGATTTAAATTTCGCCAAGAACGTTCTACCTAATCGCGGGCATCTTAAGGAGAGGTTGTACCACTGTATCGGAAAGCATTCACATTGGAATGAAATGCCCAAAGACTAACCAGAAGGAATGACTAGAACA